TCTCTTTCTGTGTGTATCTTCGGTAATCCGTATGCTATTAGCGGTCGTGAATCCTTTCGTATGATTGAATTTCTTGTCCATGTGTCGAAGAGTTTTTGAAGTCTGTAAACGAGATTGATTAAAAAATTCAATTCATGATGAAAGTAGGTGAGCTGTTACCGTTCCTGGACGTTGAAGTGATTCTAATGGGACGCTCAAACAGAAATTGTTCAGAAGGAAGTCTTATGCTGGGATAACACTCAATTTCTGGTCCCATCACAATCAGAGGCTAAAGATAGCAATAATGAGGAGCATGATCATCCGAAGCCTACGTTTAACGCTTGTAGAATTCTGGAACACGGAGTGGGACAAATTGATTAGGATATTTCTCGGCAATGGGTACGCAAGCGAAGTGATACAAAGAAACATATGAGTCGTGAAAAGCCGATCGCAGAACTGGGACATGAAAGAGAAATCAACACTTTTCACAGGTCTACCGACGCAACATGAAAGGGTAGATAAACTGAATTGTTTAGGAGTTTACTGTATATAATGCAGAGCCTGTGAACAGAAATATATTGGCGAAACAGGGAGAAAAATTAGCACACGAAACAAGGAACATCAGAGGCTCTGCAGAAAAATGGATACTGAAAGATCGGAACTAACGGAACACATCGCACAGGCTGGGCACGAGGTCAATTGGAAGGCAACAGAAAGAAGAGCTCCATACGGAGACAACACAAGGAAGTGCAAGATTAGGGAGGTCGTTGACATCTTTGAGGATAAAAATCTAATGAACAGGAGATTGGCGGAAGGTAGAGTTAGCGATAACTTTGCCTACTGCCTAAACAAACTCGGGGAAAACAAGAATAGAGCAAGACCAGCAAAAAGGAGACGCCTGGTTCAAGGGACTAGCGCTAACCGGAGGAAAAGGGATCGCGATGAATAAAGTGGGGGGCAGGGGTTTTCGGTAATCAAGCGAAGATGTTGTCAATGTGTGATGTCCGTTTCGAATAAACCAGTACAACTTTAGGGGCCTGGCGGTCATGGAGCTGGGCTGACGGATAAGCAAACCGCAAAAATCTACTATAAATCCACTTGAGATGTTGCATGCGACCAGAGATAGGCGTCCACAATTTGCACAGATAACATGTGTTTAATCAAGGAGAGAACCCGTGAAGGGAATGTCTGATATCTGCAAGCATGGGAATCAGGGCCTAGACTCTCTTCTCAGTGAAGCGGTAGTGTACGTGCTTCTAGGGCCTTGAGAAATAGTGCCTGAAGTGAATTCCACACCGAGACTGGATCCGAGTGAAATCGTTCAACCAGAAAGATAAGGAACGAGTCTACGAGACAATGAGGGGATCCGGATTGAAGGTCCGAGTCGGATCAGCTGATCGAAAGTGAGGGGGTCGGGGTGAATTTGTCGAGGAAGTGACTTCACTTGTCTCTCTTACGAGTTCGTAGCTTGGTGTGTAGAATGACAAAACTCACTGATAATGCCGACTATGATGCCGGCGAAACGTTTGAGAATGTACCAAGTCCACTGTCTGATTCTGGTAATCATGACAACTACTATGGCAGACGACTTCAGACTAGGTGCCTTCTACTAAGTCGCCCTGACAACAAGACCAAGTTGCGACGAGATCAATCCACCTCTATTAATCGATATAAAACTGCGACCATACCAGAGGCCACAACATCTTGATCTTCATATCTTAAATCAAATGAGAAGCTTCACGATGCCAACGAATTCCTTTTAACCTTGTCTTTGATAAGATTATCGCCTACAGGACGGATCGTATTCTTGACCTTGCTTAGGTCTTATCAGCACCACGAACAGGATTTGATACCTGGTCGTAGGCATATTTGCGATATCATCATTTATAATGCAAATATGCGATTGATGGATGCCTATTTTGGATAGGAAGTGCTTACATCTATATAGCCTTGGATATTACCTCAGTAAGTTGTTAATTACAGATTCCAGAAGTCAACTTTAGCTCAAAAAAACGTTCAACAGTCAAGTATCAGCTCACCTCTGAAGTAAAGATATATAAAAGTAAAATGATTTCTCAAGTATTCATTAGTGATTCATCAATTAGTAATGACTATACGTCGTTCTAAAGAAGCTTGATAAAACTCAATAGGTAGCAGCTTGTCTGTGAACCCTATTTCGTAGTGGAAGAGCTCTAATGTGACGTCAAAGGCTTTTCTCATACCGTAGCAGATGGCGAGTTTTGGCATACTCGTAAGATTAAATAATGTGCGTAAATATTTCTTTAAAAAAGTATCCATTTATGTGGAACTGTATGCAAAGTGAATACTTAACTCTGGGATAAAAGTGTCCGATTTGGCTGATGCCTGAAGAACAATGAATGATTATAGAAAGTGAAAATAACACAAAACATTTTTTTTGTTCAACCATTTCGAGCTATATCATTACATGCAAACGAAATTAAGCACGTTTACGGTTATTTTTCTGGTTAAAACTGGCAATCACGGTCTCAAACCGCCCAAGTTGGAATTGCCAAAACATTATGCTTTTATGCAGGCTTCTGCAGTCCATTAAGTAGCTTTTTTATTGACAAGTATAAGATACATTTTTGCATGAAATTATACTTTTCCTATTTTTTACATCCCATTTCTGTATACTGCCTCATAAGTGTTCGTTGGCGTGGCAGACCCGGGATAAAGCTTTCCTCCTTACATATTAATTGGCTATAAACTTAGCATTAAGCCAATATGGAGAAGTTTTTACAATATTTGTAGCTGATGTACGGACAGATGGCTTTGTCTACGTTGGACAAGTTCAGAAAATTAACCTCCTTTCAGCTCCAAAATGTAGACTTTAGGATCGTTTTTGAGCTCCAAACTGAGCATGGAGGCACATGATATGAAATTCATTAGCCTTTATTTTATTTTTATTAGAATTTTACGTGCCTGAATTGTGTTATATGGGAATTTCTCTTGATTCCAGACAAATTATGTCGCCATCTTGCAGATTCAGCTGATCCGGCGTCTGCCAAGGCGCCATTCTACCTTCGCAGGCTCCATTGCGCATTTTGTACGTAAAGACACCAGCTGAACAGTGTAGCTGCTCAAAATTACGTCTCCTTATGGGACCGTCTTGTAGTCGAGCCAAAATGGCACGCATTGCCGTCTTAAATCGCGTTTGACGCGACATCCTCACCGGGAACTGGTTCCTAAGACCCGGTGCCATGAAGAGTAGACGTATGCTGGGCTTAGATGCATCCGATTCTGCTGCATTTCTGTGTCTAGAACGTTTTCTATCTCTTTTTAAAGAGCTAGCTGCAGTGATAAGCTCGGTTGGCATTTTGTGTACAGAAGATTGGCCAAAAGACATGTCATGGGGCGGCGTCCTTATATTGCAGCACTCATCGGCAGGCACTTTAGCAGGAATCAAAGCTTCTGGAGAAGGCTTTATAGAACCAGAAGTTGCCTGATTCGTAAGCTTAGAGCAGGCATTGTTTGCTGTCAAATTGGAATGACTCAAGCCTATCGTTCGGGCAGAGGGATCTCGAAGTTCCAGACGTTTGGGAATACAGAAGGATTTCGAAGGCGTCATCAAGGCCCCTTGACGCTGAGAGTCATGGACTGAAGTCAGCTGACGCATGCCTTGACGATGCGTATAGAGTTCTAACTGACTTTCTAGCCCAAAACTAGAAGAGCTAGAGCCCAGAGAGCCAGAAACCGGGCTGATCTGGCTGAATAATGGCTGAGCATCATCTGACTCAGCAGGACACGCCGAATCTAGAACCAGTTCTCCAGCACCCTGGAGATAGAGGTAAGTATCTTGATGACCATTTGGCCGTCTGACATTATCCTCCTCCTGGTTTAGTGACTTCTGCTTGTTCTGTTCCACTATCACGTCTGAGCCCACAAAACAAACAGATGTGTTTTGGTCAAGTCGGCCGATATCCAAGTTCGCTGGTACCAAATGGTCGAGTGTGTTCTCACCAACGCTGAAGCGAGAAGTCAATCTTGCCTGGGCCGATTTGTCATTGTCCCGAGACAGCAGCACTAG